TAAAATTTACTGTAGAACAGTTTTACTTAGGCAGCCAAAGTAGATTTACTTAGTAGAATTTAGAGAATAGAGTGATTATTTTTAGAGAAAATTTGATACAAGTGATTGTTGGGAAAAGTTAGTGATTTGCGTCTCCTATTAAATAAATATTAATAAATTATAAAATAAATAATAATTAATAATTAAATAATTACCTGTTAGTTCTTTTTTTAATTTTTAATTTTTTTTTTAAAAATTCTTGTTTTTGTTTTTTAAGTTTTTCTAGTTAAATTTTATTATTTTTAATTTGTTTTTTTCAATTTTGTTCATTCTTTTACTGTTTTTGCATTATAAAGTTTTCATCTTAAAGATGTAATATTATTTAAACAAGTAGTATGTTGAACATAATAATAATTATACATAACCAACATTTTAAAAATCTTTAAAAAAAATAATTAATTTTATTAATAAAAAATTTAAAAAAAAAATACGTAAAATAAATACATACTTAAAAAAATGATTTTTTTTAAAAAAAAAACAAATAAAAAATAGATATTTAAATAAAAACTAATTAATAAATTTTGCAATTATTTTTGCACGATTTCTTCTTTTTGGAGTTCTTCTAGTGACAATTTTTGGAGCTTTTACATTTGCACTTTTAGCTTTATACACAGCTTCGTATGTATTTTCATAGCACACAAAAATACTGCCCTTATAATTATTTGTAATTTGACTATTTTTATTAAGAATTAATTTGTAATCTTCAGTTTTAAAATCCCAGGTATATAATTTTGGAAGTTCGATTGCAACTATAGGATCACTATTTGTAGTAAATATTCTAAGCGATAATAAAAATAAAATTAAAATAAAAGTATATTTTATTTTTAACGATCACTAATCTTAATACCACTAACGATTTGTTTAAAAATTTTTATTTATAAAGAAAATTTATATTTGATTTGTTTAATTATTGTAATTTCAAAATTTTGTTTAATTATTGCTCCTTTTATATTAAAAATAATAAATAATTAATTAAGATTTTGGTGTAACTTTTAAATAATAATTAAATAATTGTGTAACTTAATTTATTCATATATAAATAACATAAAAATAAAATTTCTCAAAGAATCTTTTTCAAATATATATGCTTGTAAGTGTTTTTTTATTTTTTTAGAACATTTTTTTTCTTTTAGTTGCTAATTTTTTTTAATTGTAGTATCATTTGATAACTTTTTTTGTCTCTATAGAGGCTCAAATAAGACTTGCATTATTTCTCTATGAAAAATGCTTTAATAGTATTATCTGTACAATTATTGCGCATTTTTGTTGCAGTATTATTTTGGTTAAAATTATACGAGATCTGTATGATTATAATCGATGACTTCATGCTATTGTTTTTGGGATATTAACATTTTGGATTTATACAAATATTGGGTCAATTTATATAATATTATATGTTTTAACTATTCATAAAATATTTTATTGTGATAAAGAAAAAAGAAAAATAGAATTTAAAACATATATTTAAATAATTTTGTAAGTTATTTTTTTTTTTTAAAAAAAAAATAAATTATTTTTTTAATATGTTATTTTTTTTAAAAAATAAAGGTAATTTTTTTTTAAAAAAAAATAAGTGAACAAACTGAACAACCTGAACAACCTGTACCTGTATCTGAACAACTTCTACCTCTAACAAATAATAATAATCAAATATATAATAAAGCAATTGCTGAATTTAATCGTTTAAAAGAAGCTTATAGTGCACTTTATAAACAAAATCAAAGTTTAATTCAAGAAAATAAATGTTGGAAAAAAGCAGTTGAAGGGTTTAATGATTTTGTTAAAAAAAATCTTGATGATGCAGTTTTAAAAAATAAATAATAAACTTGATGATATTAATATTGAAGAAGGAGGGTTGATTATGAAGAAATTAAAAAAAAACAAAAGAAGCATATACAGAAGTATTAGCTGAAGTTCAGGATTTTTTACCAAGCATCGTTCTGGATATGGAATCATTGTTAACAGACAAACCACCCCTAATAGAATTTACTTAATTTATTTAATGATATATTAATTACTGTTTTTGTTTTTTTTATTTTAAATTTTTTTATAGTTTCGATCTTTATTATATAAAATATTAAAATGTATATTTTATTTTTTTTAAAAAAAAATATATTT